TTTTTTTTTTATGCAAGTGATCTCTGTGGTAGTGTAAACTCTACACTAGAAACGATACCAACTGGAGTAAAGGGAGACTTGAAGCAGATAAATGAATCAGGAAGCTATTGCAGTCCATTTGTTGAGGGCCTCTGCTGAAGTGAAAATGGAGCGAGGAGGCTTGATTTGAGATATTTTTATGATTTGATGATTTCTGATTTCAGAACCTGATAAGCAAATTGACACAAAGAAACCAGTTAGGAAGGTGTTACAACAATTCAGGTAAGAAGGGATATGAACCTGAACAAAGTAATGACATTGGGAATGGGGAAAAAAGGGATGACTTCTATAGATATTAAGGAAGTAGAATTCTGAAGACATTTGGATGGACCAGATGTTTGGAGAAAGAGAGAGGAGCAAAAATGATCTTCAGGTTTTAAAAATTATCTACTACAATGTACCATTCACAAAGGTAATTGATGTAAAAACTCCACATCTTTCTTAGCTTTCTTCCATCAAGGTCCTATTGGAGTTGTCACTGGTAGAAGACCTTTCAAGTAGTACTTGCCAGAGTATACAACATAGAAACACATCATGTATAGGAATAGACTCATAGAAATACCTTTCTTCATCTAGGAGAAAATGTAAAAGTGTAAATATATAACATCTACAGGGGCTGGCAAAGTACAGCCCACAGGCCAAATTTGTATAGCTGTCTGCTTTTCTTAAACTGTTGTTTATACTTTCTTTTATTTTTGCCTTTTTTAATGGCCTGCAACTAATAATGGTTTTTACATTTTTTAATAGTCTTCATGCTAAAATGACATAAAATTCAAATGTCAGTGTTCCTAAATAAAGTTTTACGGGAACAGAACCATGCTCGTTTGTGTACGTAACATTTATGGCTACTTTTGTGCTATAATTGCAGATTTGAATAGTTATGATAGAGACACTATAGCCCTCAAAGCCTAAAATATTTATTACCGGACACTTTCCAGAGAAAGCTTGAGGATCCCTGGTCTACTATGAGCCAGGAACTGAGGTAGGGCTTTCACATCATGTCTCTATTTTTCTCAAAACCTTTAGTGGTGCATTAGGTTAAGAGACCTGGAGAAATTGTCTAGCTAATCGAGAACAATAACATGTTTTATTTATAAAATACTCAAATTATTTAGACAAATGTAGTGAGTTACCTTCTTTATTTTTAAAGGATTCTATCTTTTCCCTGCTATTTATTTCAAATGCTCATAGTAGTAAACGTAAATTTTCAGAATACAGCATCAGGCTCTTTGCAAATCCAACCTTTGACTCACATTCCATCACTTTTTTCCCCTACCGGTCACCACTGAATTTTTCCACTGTTCTCCCATTATGTGCAGGCACAAGTTCAAAGTGAGATATTCAAGAGATATTTTAGTGTTCATTTAATTTAGGTCCCTTCTCCACCTTTCCCTTGTATGGTTTTCTTCACTCTACTTTCTTCAACTAGTTGTCTACCGTTACGGAATATAAAAGGAAGGTAGGGAGGTAGGAAAACTGCAAAACGCACATAGATTTACTGGGGAGAGGCATACCTCTTACCACTCTGGTCAGCTTCATTGGTCAAATCCTCGAGGGTAGGGCAGAGTTTTTTTTAACGTAGTACAACATTTTTTAGAGGTTCAGCGAGTAGCCATTCAGTCATTGATTCCCCCCTTCCACTCCCTTGGGAAACCTGGAAAACAGAAAATCTTCCCAAAGAAACTCCTCAGAAGCGCGCCAAGATCAAGGCTGGTGGACTTGTACTCGTCTGGCTTTGCAGCCTCCACTGCCGGTTGGCGGGGTCTCTAAGCCCAAACCAACCCAGCGCGGGCTTCCTGGTCTCCCCAGCGCGCGCCTGCGCGAGCTCCCCTCCGGCCCCTTACCCTGCAGCAGTGGTATCGTGACGTAATGCAACCTCAGCAGTCAGCAGCGATATAAAGGAGGACGGGGCGGTGCGCCTCCCAGACGCCGAGTAGCTTGTGATTGGCTCTGGCTGCGGAACTTCGGAAACCCGAAAGCGAGGACCTTACGGTTCCACAGCTGCCGCCCCCCGCAGAAATCCGGAGCGCGGTCAGAATCCTACTGGCGGAGGAGGCGGCGGCGGTGCCATCTGCAGGTAAGGAGACTCCTGAGGAGGAAATAGAGGGACTTGGGTCCCCTGCGCTCAGTGTCTCGCCAGTGAGGAGAGGAGAAGCTCGTACCCAGCGTGTACTGTAGGGCGAAGGGAACAATGGAAGAGGCGTCTAGTCCCTAAGCTACCCTCCCCCTCGGGCGCACAGTTCTACTCCTCAGCCGCGGCCGGTGGCTGGAAGAATTGAGGGTAGTGTCTCCGCCTCAGCTGACCTCTTCTTTCAGTACACCAGAGCCCCTGGGGGCAAGAGCCCTCCTGGAGGCCGTCAGTGGTTTTGGGAAAATGGCGGAAAACAAAACGGTGAAGTGAAGAATGCGACGTCCCCCTGGCATTTTATTTC